GATCAGTTAGAAAAGTTTTATTTAATGAGAAATCTTGCCCTACCCTCTAACGAAAAACCCGTAGTTGAGAAGGGATCTTACGTCTTTGAAAAGAAATTCTTCAATTTATAATACGCAAATTAAACGTATGTCACGTTGGATTGATAGAATTTCACCTTATTGGTAAGAAGATGTAGAAATGGGCATAGATCGAAAAATCATTGCCTCACAATGTAACGATAAAGGACCAAACTTTAGTCTTGGTAAAACAAAAATTAGTATTAATCCTGGACCGTGAAAATTACAAATAAATGGGTTGTAACAGATGGAAGTTTAATATTTTTTATTTAAATCTTATCAAAGTAGAGAAGGGATCGATGACATCCTTAGCAGGATTAAAAATTCGTATGCTGTTATTGTGATATTATGGTATTGTATTGGTCGGATCTACGTATATTTATCGGGATGAACATTGTGTTTTCGATATAGAAATTATGAAATGTTCAAAGTTAAAACAAAATGTAAAGTAATGAATTTCGTTGCAAAATCACGTGCAATGTATGTGATTACGATTTACACAATGAATTTTTTTTTTTTTTTTTTTTATTAAAAAGGTCATTTCAATTTAATAAAAAAAAATACATATATATGTTTTTTTTTTTGCTTGTTACAAGTTTGACAAGGAATATTCTGAAAATAAAAAATTTTCGTTTTATCTCCAATATAGGTATCTGATTTGTTCTGTCAATAGGGTATTTAAATTCGTAAATTCACCACCAAAGATTAAAATATTAATTAACAAATTTTGATAAATTATTATATTGAACCATTCGTAAAAAAAATTTTGGTCCGCGTCCAACGTAATAGAATTGTTTTTTAATTTTTTTTTTTTTTTTTAAAAAAAGCTAATACCAAAACTACAATAAACTTTAATTGAAATGACTATGAAAGCACAAATTAAGCGATTTTATTCAATATTGGATTACATGAAATATTTATTACCCAGATCAATAAAATAATTTTCAATATACCATACATTTCCCATCCGCTTTAATATAAAAAAATATTACCACTTATGAAGAAAGACTAGACTACTTGAAAGATCAAATGTCGCCCTTTATTGAACGACAAAGTCAGCCTATAGACATCATCTCCTTCACAAGAGGGAGCGTATAAACCTTATGAAAAAAGACTAGACTACTTGGAGACCAAAGTCGTCCTATCCGAAGACATGGGGACCAAGTCAACCTATAGACATCGTCTACTTCACGAGAACACTGAGGAACTGATAGATGGTTTCTGTGCATATTTATATTGAAATATTTGAAATGTTGAAATTATGGGATTCGAAGATCTTCATGATCTTCATTACGAACACTATTTATGGTAATATTTTCCATATATTCTAGATTTTTGATTATGTAACGTGTTTTTTAGTTCTTTTCGCAATTTTTAATTTCGTCAATTTTTTTTTTTCAACGATGAAAACTAGATAAATTTTCTTAAAAAAAAAAGAAATAAAAGAATCAACCTTAAAACGATATATTCACATGCAAGATCATTCTAATGATCAAAGATATATTAAATATATTCTAACCTATTTTTTTTTTCATCTCTAGAATGAATATAATAATTATTTCACGCGCGGTAACATGTTGTATATAGGCAAATTTTAGAGTTATATTATGTACATAATTTTTATGGCGAAAAAAAAGCGTATTCTAAATAAACGCGTAGAAAAAAATTAAGATTTCTGTTCCTTTACACAAATATGTAGTTTATGTAGTTTAAATAATGAAAATTTCAAACTGACCATTATAAATTGCATGCAAAATTGCTATATGAAGAATAATCTGAAAATAAAAGAGTACTAATATATTCGTAAAATAAAAAAAAATCGCGTTGTATTCTTTTAATGAATTTTAAAATAAAAGACAAGTTATTTTTTTTTTTTGATGAATTATACTTTTTACCTAGTTTAATTTTGGATGCAACTTTTATTTGTATGCTATTTTCTTTGTAAAATTAAAAATAAATTCATTACAAATAGAAGTTTAGATTGATGTAATCTATCTGTATGCAAAATTCCTCCAAAATCTCATAATATTTAACTCGTAACTACACAAAAAAAGTAAGCAATTGAAACAAATACAAGCTACCGAAGAAATTTTATTAAATTTGCTTGATTAATAATAATTTTATCTGATGATTTTAAAGATGATAAATAAGTATTAGTTTGCAAGCTCTGAAGTCTCTTCTTTGCAAACAGCCATGGCCGAAAGATTCATATCTGGACATAATCATCTCGGCAATAATTTTGCCGCGTTACACGAACAGTAAAGTGTGTGTTGCCGGAGGTATCAAGTTTGTCGTTAGCAAAGAAAGGAAAGAAAGCCGGAAGTGGATGAAAGATTTTCTAGTAATCTAGCAATAATATTGGCAAGAGATCAAGAAGTGGTAGCAGTAAGATTGAAACTTTTTACCGATAAAATGTGTTGTTTATATTTCTAAAAACGGAAGTTGGAGCGGAAACGATGTTGAATATACCAACAAAATCAAGAAATATTTTAAAGTGTATCTAAAGATGCTCCCATAACGTTGGATACGGCATTTGAAAGAAGTGATGTGGGGGATTTATTCGAAACTGTAATGAAATATTGTTCTACTAAGTTCGAATCTAGACTTAAAAAACTTAAGAATGAATAAGTGGACCACAAAATCCACATATTTTATCTTTCACAAGATATGGATGTAAATGAAGTACGTGGATATAGAATGTCTAGGATTTGTAGCAGGTATTATAAAACAGTCAAAGATCATCCTACAATTTCTAAGACATCTCAAAAAGGTGGGATCTTACTATTCAGCTTTGGTCGATTTCACAGCATGCGCCTGTAATGAGAAGTACAAAACCAATTTTCTGATATGGATGTGATTTTATTGAAGCCCGTTATAGAGGCTCGTCAACCATTTTTTCATAGGTGAATATTATTCAAAAGTTTGTTCATGTTGTTCATGTTACCAGAGAGTATGAAAAATTCAAGAAAAGGTGTTTGGATGATCATGTTACATTTGAAAAATTAATGGTACGGATGGTTACGACAATCCACATTTGGACAACGAAAAATTTGAACAATGATTATATTTACATGCAGAAATGAACATATTATCCGAAATTATAGATAAAAAAGATAAAAAAAACCGGTGTTTATAGCGGTATCTAAGTATTGTTGTTACTTATGTGAATTATATATAAAATTTGCACGAACCAAAGGATACAAGATCTCCACTTCTGGAAATCTTAAGTTGTATCATAGATGATTACTTCCAGATACAAAGGATGTCACCTTCAAAAACGATGCCCTGAAATATATTATAGCAGATCTTGATCAGATCATAAGGAAAGAATTACTAGATAAGCACGTTGATATTAGTTCGAGATCTGAAGGAGAAAGTGCGGATTCCAATAATGCTGCACATGTTGATCCTTGTATTTTACCATATATATTTTTATCAATAAAGATGCTTAATTAACAATTTTTTATTAAAATTATATGGTCAATACGTTTAAAAAGTTGATTATCAATGTTATTGAAGTAATGGTCTCGAACCCTAACTCATAAATGAGAGCTATCTAATGCATAAAATAAAATGATATGCTTGAATAATAAAGAATGAATCGGAAATATTGCTTATTTTTTTGCAATAGATCTGAAATTACATGAATAGGTTGATGGAGAGTATTCCAACACGAAATCTCTTTCCCCAAAAATGACTAATGTTCGTCTCTATAGAAGCATTATAGATATGAGTATAACGAAAAAATTAGCGTGAGGTAATATTGAGTAGCGGGAGGAACTCTCATTTATGGGTTAGCGACTTCCTCCCTTTAAACTTCCGCTATTTATTTCATTAATTCTACTGAAAAATAATAATAACTTAACTTGTAAAATCTTTTTATAAATCCTGTAAAGTGAGTTTATTGTTCAGTAATTTCGCTTCGTTTTCATAGAAAAGCCAAATATCCATCGCCTATGGGCAGTCATGAAGTATTTGGAGGAGGAGGATCTCAATAGGTCCACCGCCTATGGGCAGACATGGACATATTGGCCTTTTCATTCAGGAACCCTTCATGACAACCAACCTCACCGCCTACGGGCAGACGTGAGTTGAATTGAGCAAAAATCACCTTCCCAGAGATCCGCCGCCTATGGGCAGTCGCGAATACACTGTCATTTTTTTAGAAATTCGCTCATAAAGTAAGCTACACTCTCTCTCTTGTTCCATTTTTCGTTTTTTTTAAATCTTTCAATTTCAACGGATTTTTTTTTCTTTCTCAAAATGAAGAGTTGACCAATAAAAGGACCAAAGGAATCTTAACTGGTGTAATGTCACACAGATTTGCAAATATGAGCTCGCGATTATCAATGATTATCAATAAGATGGTTTCGAACTAAGGAAACTAGGAAAAAATTGCGTTCGAAAAATCACTTTTATAATGAACCTATCATTCTGCGGACGAACTACCCCGCGGGAAAGCATGCCTCGAGTCATTCTACTCGTCCTTATCTTGGCTGGAAAACCATAAAAATACCCCACGCAAGGTTTGCATTTATGCGAAGAAAATATTGAGTGAGAAAAATGTAAGTACAAGTGACTGTGCTTACAAAATATTTGTGCATTAGCAACCCACGACTGAAAATATTATAAAGTCTCTTCAAACATCCTATGAGCTAGCGAAGACTGGTAATCATGTAAAATCCATGCAAAACGTTGTTTTAAATAAACATAAGGTTCGTAATTATCATTACTTTCTGGTTTGCTAGATAACAAGCTCATACGCTGTACTAGTACTGTACTCCACGAATTTTAGAAATTAGTACATAGTACATATGACGTCATTCAATTTTTATTTGCTATACTTAGTATTAGTACATGAACGAAATCTTTTTTTTTAGTACAAGTACAAAATAATATAAATCATATGATTAATAAAGCAAAACAGTTTATTTATTTATTTATTAGAAAGGACAATGTAAATTATCTTTAAACATAATTTTTAAATCCCATTTTGCATAATTATTTTCTGCTAGGTAATCAATACCTTTGATATCTACATAATATCGAAATCTAAATCAACTATATTTTCATTATTTTCTTGAAGTATTTTTAACCATTGATCTAATTGATTTTGAATTTGTGTTTCTTCTTTTTCAATATCATTATTGGAATCACTTTAATCATTATTTTTATCTATATTTAATTCATTTTCACCATTCTTAGGATTACTCTCTTTATCTTGTTCATTTAAGTTTGTATTTAATGATTCTTGTTCTTCTGATTCAATATTAATATAAACTATAGTTGAATTTAATTCTTGTTTACATCTTCTATAAGTAATATTAGTCCATAACTTTGCCATATTTAATATTTGAGAAAACTAGATTAATAAAATAATTAGTATATTTAATTTTATTGAATTATAATAAAATTTAAATTTAAAATTTTATTACCTTTAATCGATTTCTATTTTAGTGTATAAAAATTTCACGCTACTTTACAAACTTTCTACTGAAGCAGCATTGACATAAATTTCAAAAGACATGTATTAACAATTCTGGTCTCTAGATATACACTTCAAATCTAATACCAATATTTATAAATATCTTTCCAAATTGAGCAACAGATACATCATCAAAAGGATATTTAGCTTCCTATAAAAAATCATCAAATTTCATAAGAATAGATTTAGGATTATTTCCATTTCAAACTTTATAATAATAAATTAATTATTTGCTTAAATGAAAATAACCAATTTGTGATTTTAATAGTTTTATAAAATATTTTGTTTTATAAGCTGAATGAAGAAGCCAAGAAAAAATAAGAAGTGGTTAGTTTCATTATTTTTATCTTTTTTATAATTTAATTAAAACTTCTTATTATTAGAATATTTTTATCAAAGAAAACTAAATCTATGTAAATTTCAAATAATCTTACTTTATTTATTTATAAAATATTAAGAATTCAGCAAATAAGTGATTAAAATATTTTTTAATTTTGTTAATAATTCTCAAAAAGAATTATTTATAATTATATTATAAATATCATATAAAATTATTAATGAATTTATTGATCGCCTCTTAATTGAAGAAGTTAAAAATTCAAAATTTATAGTTAAAAACTAAAATAATAATCAAATTTAATAAATAAATATAATTAATATAATTATAAACTATAATAATAAATTAATTACCTATAATATATTTTTAATAGCATTTAAACTTTTACAATAATTAAAATAACTATTCTATTTTGTATTTTCAGAAATAGCTAGTTGAACACACTTTCTATTTGAATTTTTTTGAAAATGACCAATAAAATATTTATTATTATTATTCTTAAAATAAACTACTATCTTTAATACTTAATATGATATAGCTTTAAGTTTAGATAAAACTTTAAAAATATCTCTAATACATAAATTAACTTAATATATAAAACAAGGTAAAAAAACGATATTATAACATTATACTTGAAGTTTTTTTCTATTTATATAAAATTTATAATAATAATTAATAAATATATATTAAATAAATATATAAATAAATAAATAATATTAATTTCTTATCTTACTGTATAAGCAGAAGCACTATCTATAATAATAACTAAAAGAGATATATGAAGTTTATTTATTTTTGATATCATTTCTTCTATTTTAGATATAACTTCAATAGTTGTTAATCATTTACTATTTATATTTACATATAAGGTTATTTATTAGATGATATGAGTACAGTTCTTATTAATTCTTATTTATAAACATTAATCTAACCATTAAAAGAAAATGTAATTCCTATTCTATCTAATACTAATTTTCTAATATCATTATATCAAAATCTTTAACAATATCACTTAAAATTTCAGTTGATAAGAATTTTTTTATCTAATAATTTTATTTGTAAATTAAGAAATTTAAAAAGTTCAATAACTTTTGAATTATTTATCCAAGATAATAAAAAATCACAGAAGATAATAATATGCAATAAATGCAAATAAAATTTTTTTATCTGAATTTGAAAATGATTATATAAAAAATAAATCTATAGACCTATTAATAGATTATTAAAAAGGTAAAAAAGTAGAATGTGAAAAAATTGAATTTCTTTTTTAATTAATCAAATTATCAAATAAATTAGAAAATAATAGATTGTCTTTTATTAAAAATAAGTATTTTTAAAATAAAAATAATTTAATATACTTAAACTTTAAAATGTGATATCTTTGCGTTTACTGATCAAATTTATATAATTCTTAAAAGTATATAGTATTAATCAAAAGCTTTCATAAAATTTAAAATCACACAATATCT